ATTTTTCTTGTACTAAATTAATTATGATTACATCCAAGACATTTTGATACTCTAATGAAAGTTAATTGGAATTAAGTTATTAGTTCTAATTATAATAAATTAAATGTAGGAAAATGAATTATTTCTTGTAATGCCCTCTTCTATTTCATTAGTTTCTAATTTTCAACATTTTTGCACTCTGTTTGGAATATCTTGCTATATCTAACTTCACCACATAAATTTAAGTATACTTTTTAATAGCATGTCTTGTATCTCTGTTTGCTTGGAAAATCTATGTAAAATTTTCCCTTTTATATTCTTTCATTTATTATTTTTACTGACATAAATCCATGATCATTCTGTCATATGCTGACTGGATAGAAAAAGAGGAATTGTTAATATAGCTATAGCAACAAAAATTTGTTACAGAAGTGCAGTTTATGCCGTGAAAACATGGCTTTGATAATACCATACACTAATGACAGTGACATGTAGATGCTCAAAAGACGCAATTGCACCTGCTATGGTAACTGCATCAATTAGAGGCAGCATGATATTTTTGACCTAAAATTCTTGTCCAAAATGCCTGCTCCATAAAAATATTATCTGTCATTCCTCAATGATAAAAAGTTGAACGAATAAGAAATTACATAAAGTTGAAAACCTAACTAAACTCTGTTTATTGTACCACAGTAAAGATTAATACTACTAGGTTCTGCCCAGCAAGATCTTTTTGCAGGGTATTTACTACTAATGACTTTTTTTTTTTTTTTAAACCCCCCCCCCCCCCCCCCCCTCTTCCCCTCTTGCTACAGTTGCAATACAGGTCCAAGATATATATTGAATAATTGAGAGGAAAGATCATCCATGGAACTGCACAACCATTCACAACTGTCAACAAAACCCCGCAATAATACAAAGAAAGATATGTTTAACAGTGTTTTTTGGGGAAAGCTTTGCTCATTTATCTTCATAGTTTCAAATTTAAACTTCATCAAGAATGATAAATAATGTACGTGATGATACACAAAGTTTTAAAATAAGTCTGAAGCAAACATTAGGACAATAGTTGTCTCAGCACTAGGAAGCCATCACATCTCTTGGTAAAATAAATTCCCAAGGGTTTAACTTGCCATCATGTTATTATGTTAAATAGCAGCTCTTCAGCCTAATGTAAGGTCAAAGCTACCGACTCTGTAGCATACTAGTAGCCAACATAAACACCAGGCTTGCAAAGCGGAACCTCTTATCTGCAAAATGGAAAAGATGTGCATGTGGAAATTTGATATAAGCCAAAAAATAGTCAAGTGACTATAAAGGTTAGTATATATATCATTTACTACAAAGAGACATAGTAAACATTGCTGTTTTGGACAGTGGCAACTTTTTATTAGCAGAAAGACACCCTTCAGGGTACTATCAGTTATGACAATCAATCCATTTGCAGTCAGATTCCATTATGAAGTCCCACTTTGATCACTTTTGTTTTGGAAGAAGTAAACTGGCCTAAAATCAAGAGAACTAACTTAAGGGCAAAAGAAAAGAGAACTTTTTTTTCCCATACAGTACGGAAAATAACTAAGAACAGACATTTGTGTTACAGAACATTACAGAAGAAAGACGACACAGAAGAGAAATATTGGGTTGCCTTAGCATTTTAAATCACAGTAACATGAAAATTGCCATGCTACTGCATCTAAATAAGTCCTGCATCCCCAAATTTGATAATATACTATCAAGATTCCACATGATCTCTTTTTGGGGAAAAAAAAAACCCCACACCTCCAAAAACCCCAAAACTAAAAACAAAAATGAAAAAAAAACCAAAAAACCCACCCCAAACCAAACCCAAAATATCCCACCCCAAAACCCGTGACCAATATGCTTTCTTTTTCAAGAAAAAATACAGGATCACAAACCGATGGCAAAATTCTGACTTCACTAAGCCCAGATTTCACCTCCAGAGCATACTGAAGTGTGTGGAGTTATTATCAGTGCCTTCAGCAAGACCAAGACTGGAGACATCAGTAAGATTAAAACAAAACAAAACAAACCCAAAACGATGACAGTAACAACAACAACAAAAACCATTGCAAAATAGCAAGTACCACAAGGACTGGGTATGCTGGAAAGGGGAGTGAGAATCAAGATGCTTTTGTATGTAAGGGCATCCTTATGAGACTCGTGGCTCCTGGATTTCACTTCCAGAAGAAACAACGCTGCTCGTGTTTTCTTGCAAAGAGGATTATTGCCATAAATCATCTTGAGGGTGTATGTCCTAAGATATACTAGACATTACTAATTCTCTATTAAAAAGTCCTCTTCAATTTGTTGAAAAAAGGCCAGTTGTCTATATTGCATGGTTCTTTTAATTTCCAGTTAACTTTGCAAGGATTTTTTTTTTAATAAGATAAAAGTCAACTCATGAACTGCATTTTATCAACAAGCTTTCTTTAATTCTTAAAGATGTCTTAGGAATCAAGTAAACAAACAAAACCTAGTCTTTTCCAGTTGTTCTTAGTAAGCTCTCCTTTATCTGATCATCTCAGAAGATAAGTGTCAAAGAAACGGGTTTTTTTCTGTCTTATAAAGAAGAGAAAACACTATTTTTCATCCATGGTAATTTGCATTCAAAAAGCTATGTAGCAGAAAACAGTTCACTTGCCCATGGAAAAATAACATCTCTGGTATTGCTCTCCATCAAATTGATTTGATTTTCTGAACATGTCATTCTTCACTCACATAATTACCTTTTGAAATACATCAGATAAAGTGTTGTCTTTTCCTCCCAACAAATATAAAAGTTTTATGAATAGAATGTTACGGAGTTGGAAGTGGAACGATACGAACATTTAGGAAAAAAAAAAAAATCAATGAGGCTTTTTCAATACTTGCTTTATTTTCTGAGTTTTTAATCATTATTTCACAATGCAGTTACAAGATATGAAATCAATGGGATATTTTAGTTAAAGATCAAAACAGTACCTTATTTGGGTTTTTTAACAATAGAAACATGCCTCCCTCTTAAAAAGAGATATTGCAAAACTCAATGAAAATGGTACTTAAGAATAAAGGTGGAAACATCATCCAGATTTAGGAACGTTGTTATGTCTGCATATGCCAGCTAACCTCATAAAAGCTGTGCAAATTTATGCCAGGTCTCAATAAAAAAAGCAATGCGGAAATCCCATACCCTTTACACTCCAGTTACAGAGCACAGCAATTTTTTGCTTGCTTTGGAATAATGAATCAAATAACTGAGAATTCTAAATAATAATTTTCTACTATGATCCAAATGTAAAAAATATGTTGGGTGTTTTTTGCCTTTTTTTTTTTTTTTTTTTTTTTAAGGGCATATTCTG